AAATTATAGTTGAGAACCAGCAGAAAGGACAATGTCGGAGAGTATAAAAAATATAACAGTCCAAACTAGTTTTATCAAGAGGCAGATGATCTGAAGCTTTAGAAACTATAGTAGAACTTTAAGTTTGTTTTTCTTAATTGCTGATACAGGGTCTCACTGCATATACCTGCCTAGTCTGGAACTCACAGAGATCTGCCTGCCTCTGCCTACAAAGGTGTGCATCACAGTACCTGGCCTTATTATCTTATTTTTAAGAGAAATAGGGATGGTATATGATTTAGGTTATAAAAAGTTTCTTCTACGACTTAAAAAACAAGATTATAGGGAGGCCTGAGTGAAATTGGAGAGGACACAGAATGCTATATGGTAGCCCATGCTGGAAATTTTGGGGGCTTTGATCTAGGTAGCTGATCTAGGTAGAAAGTAAAGAGATGTGATCATATTTATTATATTTTGAATGAAGAGTTAAGAAAATATTTACCTTTTCAAAGTCTCCAGATTCCTTAGGAATTTATCATATTGTCTTTTCATGAAATAAAAAAGCAAGAAGAATCTGGATGTAAGAACTGAAAAGAATGGTGTTAAAATTAGTAGCTATGTTGGTAAACCTCAGGATTTAAGTTCTCTGGCCTCTTATGTTTTATCAATAGAATTTAATAGCTGTTCCTGTGCCTTCCTTACATGGCTATTGTGAAATTCCAATAGAATACTTTATAACTGAAGTTTCTAAACTAATTTTAACTTAATCAACCTGCTAGATTAGCAAAAACTTCATTTCACTATAAAATATACACATGAAAACTAATGGCTCATTAAATGCTAAAATCTAGTAAGTTGCTCTCCAGTAAAAATATCAAATTGAAATGTGGATCCATTAACTATAGTATAAAATGTTATATATAGAAAATATTTAATAAATGAATATATAAGTTGATACTAAGCTTGCTTCATAAGATAATTCTATCACTTGAAATAAAAACTAAGCATTGTGCAAATGAATTTGGAATGGTCTATGGAAGACAAACCCACCCAGAATTTACAGAATTCTAATCAGAGAACCAATACTTAGTAACTGAAAATGTATTTGTTATTCATCAAATGACTTGCAATGTGGTACACATTTATATGTCTTTCAAATAAGTTAAAATGTTTAATACTGTGTATATTTTCAGTGAAAATAAAATAGAGCACAATGTGTGCTTCTGGAGGACCCGAGTTTGCCAGAGCCTATGCAGATGCTTCACAATCTCCTATTTTTCCACTTCCAGTGGATCCAATGCCTATGTCCTCTGTAGATACACACACACACACACACACACACACACACTCACACAACCCACATGGAGATACACACACATATATATACATAATTTAAAATAAATCTTTGGGCTGCAGAGATGCCCAGCAGGCATGAGCATTGATTGCCCTTCTAGGGATCCAGTTGGATTCCCAGCATCTGCAGGGTATCTCATAACCATCAGTAACCCCAGTTCCTGGGAACCCAGTGCTTTCTTCTGGCCTCCACGGACATGAGGCACACAGTAGTGCATAGATATACATAGGGGCAAAACACTCACACACATAAAATAAAAATAAGAATTGTTTTAATACATAATTACTGATAGTATCTTTACCTTAACCTATTTTCAGTTAAGCAACAAATGATGTGTATGATGGTTTCTTCTGTTATAAAACATAATAATGCCTAGTTTTCAATATTAACTATACCTAACAATTTCCTGTGGGCCTTTAATTTAATGCCAATCCCTGGGCCTTATCTTTGGATATTTTGATTCTTTAACACTGGAATGAGACAAGAGTTCATTGAAAACCACTTGTCTGTTAACAGTGGACACTCAGGCAACTAACTGAGATATAAAAGCAAAACAACACATTTGTTTTTCAGAGTTTACACTGTAAAGGCAGAAACATTTTAAAGGATAAAGTGAGCAGAGGCAGTGGTCAGGACTGGTCTCACAGAAGTTGTCATTGAGTGACATGGTAAAGGCTACCCGAGAGTTCTCCAATCGTACATATTAAAGGTGGTGGGATAATTATCCTCAATGAAGTCATGGAATGGAAAGCATTACATGTATGACATCATGATGGGTTGGAGCAGTACACTATGCCAAGGGAACCATGAAAACAGAGTTAGGAAGGTAAACAGGATACCTCTCTGAAGAGAACTGTATGAAAAATCAAGATTAAAAGTTATTGTATAAAGCAGTGTTTTCAAAATGAGTTTCACAAACTTCAGGTTCAGGAAGGGTAGTTGGCATGTGTTACAAATAGCTGAGGAAGCTGACACTCGAGGGCACATATTGAACCTAAAAGAGATTACAATAAACTGATGCACTAGCCTCTCTCTCTACTCTTGAGCATTTTCCATATATTATAAAGAACTTAGCTTTACATTTCTTGAGATCAACAAATACCCTATACCTGCCTATAAAGAGTAAAATACAAAAGCACAAAATGCAAATAAGTATTGATTGGCAGTAAAACTTGTTATAATTCATCAAATAAACTTAAGCCAATAAAACATCACATTCATTTGTTTGAATTGATTTTACTGGAGTATAACAAAAGACTTGTGTTTCTAGAGAAGTACTGCTCTATGGAAACAGCACAGAATTTGTCCCAGGCAAATCGTATTGCATTTGGGTAATCACATTATTACAACAAAATGAAGTATAATAAGGTAAAATAAGAAGTGAGGAGATCGGAATGGATTCTCAAGATACAAATCAAGAAAATAGGATGCAATGAACGAGGACTGGGGGTGAGAAACGGCATAAAATCCAGAAATACAAAGCAAATAGAATCTGAGCATGCAGATAGTAGAGGGAGGCTTGGTGGAGAACAGAATCTAGATTTACACTTCAGTTTTAGCCACGATGGAAAGGTAAACGTGTCTGGAGTGTGCTGCCTTCTTACCATTCACAATAGAATCTCCTTTGCACCCTTCATCAGTAAGCCTAAATGAAGTCCCCATTCCAATAACAGCTCTAATTTTGCGTTTTCCCTAATCCATTTTATATATCCACTATAGACTATGTTAGCTAAAACACAGTTACATAATAACTTTTCAAATTAACTGTAGTCCTAGTCAAATAAGCTGCTGTATTTTCCATATCTGGTGTGACTTCGGTACTATCACTGCATAGCTATTATAGCTGTCTAACCTTATAGTTTATTTGAAACTTATTACCCTAAATATAAAGTCTATAATGTAATGGTTGTATTTGTTCTACAACAAAAAAGGTATCTTTTCAACTTTAACAATATAAATATTTTATCACCCCTTCCAACTTGTGTACTCTCTTCACCGTCTTGTCTTCTCAGATTCTAATAAGCTTTTTTTCGTATAGGGAAAACAGAAATATTTATTCTCATACTACAAATGTAGGAATCAAAGCTCCAGTAATAAAAAAAAATATTGCCCATGATAGTATGGCTGGCAAATGACAGGGTTTTAAATGTTTTAAAAAAAATCTGATTCATAGGCCAGTGTCCTTCCTACCATGCCATATGTGTTTGACATAGACCATACTTAACTTTTGCCACTTGTCATGACCACTACTTTCTTAATAAACCTGGAGATGACCACGTGCTACACTGTGTTTCCTGCAGTTACACATACCTCTGAATTTATTTACAATTTTCTCTATTAGCTTTACAGCCTCAACTGTCCAGCATCTATCTGGTTCCAGTCTACCTGCTCTATACTAATTTTATCTTAAGTAAAATTCTTCTGTATCACTATCACATTCATTAGTTTAGGGTATTAGGATTTTTTTTTTCAGAATGTGGGAAAGGAAATAGAAAAAAAAATAGAGAATCAAGATATGGCTTCTCCTGTATAGCAACTCAAATTCGGCCTCCAGGACTCTCTCACATATTCGTCTCAGGACCACTATTAAGTTCTTCCTTAACTCATATAATAACTATTACTTCATACTGTATTCAAAATTCACACAATTGAGTAAATCTATTTAAGTCTAAATAAACCTGGGCCTTAAGTAAACTAATAACTATAGATTTGATGCTTTTATAATAAACTTTCTAGAAAGAGCTGAGACAATGACTGAAACTTGTCCTTATCTTTCTTATTATGTATTCAATCACATTTATAAAACTAAATTCATTTGTATCATATAAATGACGTGAGGATTTTTTCTCATATAAGTCATGCCAAAATTACACTGAAGGGTAACACCCAAAAAGAGCAATAAAGAAAATATGCCATCTCATAAAGTAATACTGTAATATCTTTATACAATAATGTTACATTTTTTACTATTCCTCATTTTCTTTCCCAGTCCAAAATTCTGTTTGTTTATTAGAAGCTCAAAATCAAAGAATAATAGCCTAAAATGTTTTCTCCCTGAATCAGAACACTGGTTACTTTGCTCTTTTGAATATCCTGAGTTCTCACATGCATTGAGCCCACAGGATTTGTATGTTTATCAAGAGTCTAAGATCCCCTTTTTAAAAATATCTAGAATTTTAGAACACTGTCATTAAACACATTAATCTATTATCCACTTAATTCTAGCAACATGTGGAGAGGCCTATTCATTTTACACTGGACAGAGGAAAAAGGATAACAGTTTCTCAAGATGAAAACCCAGGAAGCCAAATGACTGTCATTTCTCCTTCAGTTCACTACTTATACACAAATATTATTGTGTCCACTTACTAGGCTTTAACGTCTTAGAAACACTACTTTTTGTGTGTCTTTTCCTTCTCTTTACACTACCATCGTTTCTTATAAATCAATGCCAAAGTTGATGTCTTAAGTGTTTTTATTCACTCAAATTGACTTAGTACTAGGCTCTTTGATGCTGGCGTCTCAACAATTTCCAGCCCTGCATATGCACGTGTGTGTGTGTGTGTGTGTGTGTGTGTGTGTGTGTGTGTGTGTGTGTGTGTTTCCTTGTTTCTTCACAACCGTAAAGTAGAAATATAACAGGCTCTAAAGCCAATTCAAAACTTACCTTGCAAATCTGGAAATACTCTGAAGTCAGGCTTTCCTGAATTTCCTCTCTCGGAAGCCCTGCAGTCCCTCCTGGATGGACCGAGCCACTTCCAGCCCCACCGCTGTTACTGCCGCTGCCGCTACCACTGCCAGGGGATGAGGCAGTTAAGCCATCCAAAACTTTTCGGAAATTAAACTTCTTCATTTTAAACACTGTTGAAAAATTAAAAGGAAAAGAGAAGTGGTGACAAACATGGAATTTTACGGGGCAAAAGCCTTTATCTTTTCATTAGTCAAGGCAGGAGAAGCTAGTCCCCATTTTATGAGCATTGGGTAATCGAGGGAGGGAGAGGGGCTCGGGCTTCCTGTCCTCAAATTTTAACTTTAAAAGAGATATCTTTATAAAATAAAGAGAACACAACTCTAAGAGCAACAGTATTCCTTCCTCACACATCCAGATTTTCAAGGGCTTTATCCCCAGCTGTAGCTATGCTTTATCAGCACTGGGGTAAAAATAAAAGGCAGTGTCATCATCGTCATTAGCATTATATCATCATTATTATACAATCAAACCAGAGCCCAACAGACCAAGACCCTATGGACTGCTCTGAAGAGGTGGGGGCTTTCCTTCTTAAGGGTCAGCTCATAAATTTTTATTATCGGAAAAAGCGATGTTGTGGGGGAACCAGTATTTACTCTGCCACCATGTTTGGGGCTCCCCCCCCCCATCATCTTCAAAGCTCCCTTTTTTTCCAATAGAAACTAGGGGATAGGCAAAAAAAAAAAAATGGTTTTTCCCATCCCTTATATCCAAAAATCTAGACCCCAAAACATCTGCGGTGACTCACAGCCACAGCCGACGGGAGGGGCGAGCGGGGACCGCCTGCCTCCACCTGTCCCCGGCTCCTCTCTTCTGCCCCTCTCCCGCCTCTGGTCTCCCCGTGTCCCCTCCCCTCCCGGCTCCCCCTCTGCACAGCAGCGGCTCTCCGGGGGATGTGAGGCAGCGGTGACGCCTGCGGCCCGAGTCCCGCCTCAGCCTGCGGGGCGCGCAGAGCTGGCTCTCTCGCTCCCTCCCAGCCAAGCAGGGCGCTAAGGCTTCCACCGCGGACTACGAGCCCTGGAGCCTTCACAGACAGCCGGGCAAGCCACACGCACCTCAGACAGCTGCGCGGGCGCGCTCTCTCTCCCTCTTCCACAGGCGCACACACACACACACACACACACACACACACACACACACACAAGCGTGCGCACAGGTGTGAGGAAAAGCCGCGATGGGACGGCACGGGTGTCCCTGGGGACCCCAGACTTAGCACCTTCCTCAGACGCCACTAGCCGCCGGCCAGCCCGTGAGGCGGAGGGCGCGGAGGCTGCAGGCTCGCAGGCGGGCGAAGGTCCAGCCCGGATCCGGCCGCTTCTCGGGTCTCTCTGGTCCTGGTGCCTGGAGCTCTCCGAGGTCCTAACCGAGCGGGCGGGTCTGCCTCAGGCTCCGCCCCCGCCGTGGGAGGTAGGCCCCGCCCCGGCAAGTCCTCACCCTCCTCCCTCCCAGACTCTCGCGCCGGGGGCGGGGCACTCTGGGCGCCAAGGGGCGGGACATCCTCTCGCCAATCACAAGCTCCAGTGACCCCAGTCCTAGGGATTCCAGGCAGGAAAGAAGTTTGGGGATAGGTCAGAAGAAAAGCCAGTGACAGGAGGAGGGCATCATTTAGGAAAGTAGGTGATGTATTTGATTGACAGCCATACTAGCCAGTATGCCATGGAGCCGTGCTTTGGGGGCTGTAATTGGTGCTACCTGTTGAAGGACGGAAGTGTGAATCAATAGAATGCTCCCAAGCTTGAGAACTTGCGCTCCGGGAGTCCGAGGCTGCAGGAAGGGTTACCTTGGGTCTTGTTCTGGATCATATTGTGGACCGTGCTCTTTTTTCAGCCTCCCTCTGTCCCCGAACCCTTAATCTATTCCTGCTCACCAGGGCCAGCTGCATCTAATGTTCTATCCTCTCTGCTATCTTGCTGCCCTGCTATCTGCATTGAAAGTAGATTTGTAAATAACCCCTACAAACTGTTAGCCCTCTCCATTAGGTCACTGTACCAAAATGAATTGGTTTTCGGTGGAATATTGGCTTCCAAATCTTAAGGAAATGATTTGCCCACTTTACACAGCCTATGAAATAAATCAGCGTTCCCCTTCTTCACATGGACAAATTAAATTTTTGAGGAAACATTTCTTTCAAATCATGACAAGATGCATTTTAAGCTTTTTCTCATTTGGATCATTTTGGAAAATACTCTATTCGTACAGGAAAAAGAAACATCGCACCATTGTGGAAGATGTAGTTCTGAGCCCTGACTGTTGGTAAAAGGTTCAGAGTACGCTTCAATCTGAGCAACAGGGATCATTAGTAATCATCCTAAGTACTTACTGTCTTACATCTTAGGTATGGGACAACACTTTCAGACTCACCCCTTTTTTTGTCAGAGGAGATGAGAGGGAGGAAAGGGAAGATTTGAATGCTGTATGAATTACTCAGGCAAATAGCAAAGGAACCATGGCGATTTTCAGAAACTCGGCTCGACATTCGCATTCCCATTTCGAATATTTTACTCCTTAATATTTGCATTGCTTCTTTTTGTAAGCTCTTACACTTTCACTGTCAAAACCAGATAGTAATTTTCTTAATCACTATTAAGGAATAGAATTTTGTACTTCCAGTTAATTTAGTACCTGGCACAACATTTCTCTTATAAAGGGCATTGAAAGGGTTTTAGACAATGGATTAGTTAATGGCTATGAGATAAAGATTTATGAGATGATATCCAACTTATACTGTTTTGAAGGGGTGAAAATAAATATGGAAACAAATTCCATACCTGTTATAAACTGGATCTTGAGATGCTTCTAAATCCTATATTAGATACCTAACAATACATATCTGTCTTTAACTGTCTCCTCTCGTCAGTTTTTCTTCTTTATGGCCCATTGTTCATTTCCAAATACAGGAGTCAATGGGAGCTAAAAGATTTTCTTCCTCTTTTTCTGTCTAGCTTTTCTTTGAAAGGAAGCATTTGGTGAGTTAGCCGTTATTGAATAGAATGATAGATTTAGAATGCTTTCTTTGCTTCAGCAAAAGTTCACCTACCTATTTAAGAGTCAAATATGAAAACAAGTTCACAGCATATGGAGGTCTGGCCCTTTTGATGAAAGTGAAGAAAGGAGATATTCCAGTTCAGCAAAGAGACACAGAATGTTTACAAACAAAACTTACGTCACGCATCACAAGCATCATACCATCACAAATATATTCTATGAAATAAAACAGAGCTGAAAAAAGAAAAGCATATGAAACAAATGAACAAAGTTTTTTCTGACCATCAAGGGAATTCAACAATCTGCTGAGTTAAGAAGAAAAAAAAAGCTATAAAGCACACAGCAGTCCAGATGGGATGACAAATAGGTACGAAAAGTAGAAGAAATGTTGTGTCAAAATATATACATGTTTCCAATAAATATTAGAAAGTTAAAACAGCTGGTAAGGTGACTTGGTGGTAAAACATTTGTCTAACTTATGCAGGGATGTGCTTTTATTCTCATAAATAGGCACACACATAAAATTAAAAATAAAATGAAATACTATAGTTAGGACTCTCTGGCATTATTTTAAATATTAGCAATACTCTACAGTAGCACAATAACTTATATGTGGTGAGTATCCAGCATATGTTAACTTGAATATAAGATAAATGTAAAAATTTTAGCATAATTGTAATGGTGAGAAGGTGGGGAGAAAGAATCTCCCGTGGAAAGAAAGTATGATGATGACAAACTAGACTATAGGCAAAGATAGAAACGAGCAAAAGGCAGAAGCTCTTTGTATGTTGGGTAACAGTAAAAAGAATCTTACTACATGAATCACAATGAAATATTTGTGAATGCACGTTCCATCCTGAGTTAAAAAGCAACAGGGTGTTATTGTATAAACATTTGGTAGCAGGAATGAGATCAGAACATACAAGATAGCTTATAAACAATATAGAAAACACTAAAGCTGGATCAAACAAGGATCACTTCTGGCTTCTTCCTACCAATGTGACAAGTATAAAGCGCTATATGAAAGAAACATGGCCTGAGCTTGATACTTGCAGCAAAATGATTAAATCACAAATCTAATAATTAAATCAACGAAACTAATAAACTGGAAGACATTTAGAATATGTGTCGAAAAGAAAGTACCACTCACTTTAAGGAGTTATAATCTTGGATCAAGCCAACAATGAGGCTGATCAAAACTACTTTTCTACACTGAAAAAGTAATCCAAAAGCTGCACAGAAAACTGTACCCATGTGACATTTCTAATATAAAGGAGTATTTGAAGAATTGGCTGAGCTTTGATAAAAGCATGCAGGCAGGACAGCTAGGGCTACACAGAGAGACCTTGTCTCAAAAAAACAAAACAAAGTAAAAAAAAAAAAAACCACAACGCACATAAAGTAAAAATAAATACAAATTATTTTTAAAAAGCATGCAGGGATGACAAATCAAACTTGTAAACGATACATTGCATACATAAAGTCCTACCAGGTGGATATCACCTATATTCCAAACACCAGAAGCTGTGAACTCCACAAACATCTCATCCATTTACTCCTCATTATAACTCTATGAGATGGGTAGTGATTCTCCCCACATTATACATATAAGAAAATTTAAGTTTCAGGAAAAAAAAATTGCCCACAGTCACTTAAGATAATCTAGTCCTCAAATCTGGGCCTAACTTCAAAGATTACATTCTAACTCACTTACTTATTACTAATCAAAAACCTAAACAAACTAGAATAGAAAAGGGGGCAGGCAGTTCTTCTAGAAAATGTAACTACACATGATTAGTTTGCCAGAACTGTTATAATGAAACAGCACAAATTGGATTTCTTAAACAAGAAAATGTATTTTCTCACTACTTCGGAATTTAGAATTATATTATCAAGGTATCAGCAGGTTTAATTTCTTCTGAAACTTCTAATTGGCTTGCACATAGCTACCGTCTCTCTGTGGTCTTGCTTGGTCTTTTATCTGTGGGACAAAACCCTAGTGTCAGTGTGTCTAGATTCCCTCATTTTATGATATCTATCAGACTTTAGTAGAGGCCATCTTATTGGCCTTGTTTGAATTGAATCTTTAAAGGCCACAACTCCAAAGGAAATTGCTTTCT